GCCCTGTTCTAGCTCCATCTCCCGGGTTACCAGGTGGACCAGGCCTTGCTCAATTTCGTGAGTGTCGTCCCAGTCATACCTGCTCTCCCTCCACTCCAAGAGATCACTGAACCGGGCTTGTGTAGGGCTCCCAAATTCGAGCTCTGAAAATGACTCCCATAACAAGCCAGGACCATCAAACTCCTCTCCCTCTGGCTTGTCATGCTCGGCTGTCCAGGGTAGGTACTGTGCCCCATACCACCAGAGCACCTGGTAGGCATCTTCCAGCCAAATCTCCTGCCATGCCCGGTGCTCCAATTCCTTCACCCATTCATCCAGGGGCTGTTCTCCCAGGAAGGGCATCCGCAGGGCTACTCGCTTCTGCAACCGCTGGTCTTCCTTGGGGAGTCTCTCGCCCCGCTGGTACTCCACAATACCCAGTGCCTGGTACCAGATGCCTTTACGGACTGCATCTCGGTCATCCATGGCACCCTCGTCATACTCCACTGCTGGTTCCATGCTGGTGCTGTCAGGGTCGCTGTACTGGGACATGAGTTGCCCTCAAATTGTAAAATCCAAAGAAATGGTGTCTCCTGTAGCTGTCCTTCTGGCTGTAGGAACGATCCCGCCGCTTGCCACCAATTGTAACGGACCGCTTTGCACACAAGGGGTAAAAACCGTTTAGGCGATCGGCCCCCTTTCCAGAGATCCAGGCACAGCTACTGCAGAACACCAAACTCCCGGACTGGATACAAAATAGCACTCCAACTCCTGAACTGGAACCTCCCAAATAGCTGCTAGCAGACGAACAGGAAAAGCAGACAATCAGCTTACACTCCTGGCAATCAGTCTCTAACAGCATACAGTGAATCCCCCCAAGAACGAGACAAGGCTCCGTGTTGAGGGTCAAGCAGTGGTCTGAGGTGCTGGCACACCCAGCCTGGTTTTTATTACAGTCTTGTAAATACAGGACCGCCCACAGGGAGGTATAAAACAACCAATCACATCACAGTTACATCCCACATATTCCCTCCCCTTATCCTGAGAGGAAACTCAATTATACATACAGTTAAAACATACTTTCTACCCAACTTTCATAACTCTAAACCCATACATCACATTCACATAAAATTACATATGCACAATCAATCCATTCAGGGGAACAACATATTCAAAAATGGCACAAATCAGACAAGGGGTTCAAAAGTTAGTAAAAAGTCCTTTGTGATTAAATGAAGCATGGCTTTCTGGCCCAAACCAGTTTCAGAGTCTTCTATCCTGGAGATAAGTAATTCAATTATCTCCCAGGATAGACACAAGACTCCATTAAGCACATGGTTGCAAAAAGACACAAAACACTTTAAAATACATAAAGTTACATTTATTACATAAAACACAGACATGTAACATATCCCCAGATAGCTCAGGTCTGAGCGCACATTATTAAGTGAATGGCGCTCAGACCACACGAATACAGTTTAATTGCCATGGAGCCAAAGTCTTTACAGTCAGTTTCATACAAATGGGCTCCATGGGATTCCTATCTGGGGTATAACACATTCAAACAAATCTACTGAACCCCAGGCAAAAATAAAGTCTTTTAAAAGGGGGCCATAGTCCAAAGGCAGCAGGCGAGCAACCAGGCTTCTCCAATGCAATGTGGCGAGATTGGTCTCGTCACAATACACTCATACACAGCCCAACCGCCCATACATCACAATACATACACTCACACACTCATACACTCATACACAGCCCAACTGCCCATACATCACAATACTTACACTCACACACTCATACACAGCCCAACTTCCCATACATCACAATACATACACTCATACACAGCCCAACCGCCCATACATCACAATACATACACTCACACACTCATACACAGCCCAACTACCCATACATCACAATACATACACTCATACACAGCCCAACCGCCCATACATCACAATACATACAACCGCCCATACATCACAATACATACACTCACACACTCATACACAGCCCAACCGCCCATACATCACAATACATACACTCATACACAGCCCAACCGCCCATACATCACAATACATACACTCACACACTCATACACTCACACACTCATACACAGCCCAACTGCCCATACATCACAATACATACACACATACACAGCCCAACCGCCCATACATCACAATACATACACTCACACACTCATACACCGCCCATACATCACAATACATACACTCACACACAGCCCAACCGCCCATACATCACAATACATACACTCACACACTCATGCACAGCCCAACTGCCCATACATCACAATACATACACTCACACACTCATACACAGCCCAACCGCCCATACATCACAATACATACACTCATACACTCACTCATACACAGCCCAACTGCCCATACATCACAATACATACACTCACACACTCATACACAGCCCAACCGCCCATACATCACAATACATACATGTGGCGGAACCAACCTCGCCACTATGCACTGGAGAAGCCTGGTTGCCAGCCCCCTGCCATGTGACTATGGCCCCTGGGATGTATTGCCCTTTAAAGACATGATTGGGGCATAATGGATTACCGCCAGACCGGCACACTCACTACCCGGCCCGACGGCACCATCATACACTAAAAGGCCGGCCGCAAGGTAACTATTGAACGAGGCCGGCCCCCTCAGAGCCAAGCTGCGCGCATGGCTCCCTCTATTTAAGAGGTAAGAATTAGAGCTGTGCAGCCCCCAGGTTCTGCAGCCCACCGGGAAATTTCCCGGTATCCCGGTGGGCCAGTCCGGCCCTGGGGGTAGGTAGAAGTTTATTTTTGGGGTGAGAGAGTGACTAGGGGTTTGAGGTGGGGTTAAATTAGTATTTAGGGCCCCCACCCACCACTCAGGTGTGGGGGCCAGTGTGGAGGACATTAGGTCCCCCCCAATTTGTATTTAGGGCCCCCACCGCTCAGGGGGGAGGACATTAGGTCCCCCCCAATTTGTAGTTAGGGCCCCCACCCACCGCTCAGGGGTGGGAGCAGGGGGGAGAACCCCCCCTTATTCTAGTTTAGGGCCCCCACCCACAGCTCAGGGGTGGGGGCCAGGGGGAGGACATTAGGTTTAGGGCCCCCACCCACCGCTCAGGTGGGTGGGGGCCCTAAATACAAATTGGGGTCGGCCATCTTGGATCCTTTGTTCCTCAGCGGGTCCGTGTTGTCGAACGCATAGTATTACCAATAGCTATTCGACGGCACGAACACCGCTGAGCCTCCAGGGCGTTCGGGAGTTTCAGAACCGTGTTCAATAAAAGTAATCGGTTCTTTTCGTATGTTTTGAAAGAAATGTGTTTTCTGTGCGGCGTTCGGTTATTTTAGCTGGGATCTGAGCGGCAATCTCACGAATGATGCGCCCAGACCCCAGCTATCTACCGAACCCCCCCTTATTCTAGTTTAGGGCCCCCACCCACAGCTCAGGGGTGGGGGCCAGGGGGAGGACATTAGGTTTAGGGCCCCCACCCACCGCTCAGGTGGGTGGGGGCCCTAAATACAAATTGGGGTCGGCCATCTTGGATCCTTTGTTCCTCAGCGGGTCCGTGTTGTCGAACGCATAGTATTACCAATAGCTATTCGACGGCACGAACACCGCTGAGCCTCCAGGACGTTCGTGAGTTTCAGAACCGTGTTCACTAAAAGTAATCGGTTCTTTTCGTCTGTTTTGAAAGAAATGTGTTTTCTGTGCGGCGTTCGGTTATTCTAGCTGGGATCTGAGCGGCAATCTCACGAATGATGCGCCCAGACCCCAGCTATCTACCGAACGTCCATTCGTGTAAATCCACCGTGTATTTTAAAAGTTATGGTCCAAGATGGCCGACCCCAATTTGTATTTAGGGCCCCCACCCACCGCTCAGGGGTGGGGGACAGGGGGGAGGACATTAGGTCCCCCCCTTATTCTTGTTTTGGGCCACCACTCAGGGGTGGGGGCCAGGGGGGAGGACATTAGGTCCCCCCCCAATTTGTATTTAGGGCCCCCATCCACCGCTCAGGGGTGGGGGCCGGTGGGGAGGTCAATAGGTCCTCCCCCCTTTTTTTACTTTAGGGCCCCCACCCGCCGCTCAGTGGTGGGTGCCGGGGGGGGGGGCAATAGGTCCCCCCTTTAGTTTAAATGCCCCCACTCTGCTCACTGTTTAATAGACAATCCTCTACTCGCGGTATAGCGAGAAGGGGCTGAATTTACTAATACTAAGTAATCTTTACTTAGTAATAGTAAATTTGGCTGAGAGACCAATTTAGGTCTTTCAGCCTTTTAGTAGATAGCTCCCTAATACCGTGGGAATTAGGGAGTTATCTACTTATTCATTCCTGTCATTACATGACTGGCTAAGTAACTTACATTAAATATGAATGTATGTTACTTGATTGTTGTAAGTGTTGCAAATGCTTACAGCTGAATCCTGGCTATGTTGTATACTTTTTATTTAAAATTGTATACAGTGTAACATTCTTCTTCTTTCACTGGGTAAGTATATTAGTACTTAGGCAATACTGTGCTTCGGAACATCGGCACTTCAGCAATTCGGCACTTCGGCACTACTACACTTCGGAAATTATTATTTATTTATTATAGCCACTCTTATATATCTTCACAGATCCATAGGTATACCCCTTCTCGGTGTCTCCACTCTGCCCATGCACTCACGCTTGCAGGACTTCTCGCTGGCGGCTCCCTTCCTATGGAATAGCCTGCCTACCGTCATGAAACTCTCCCCTAGTCTTAAATCGTTTAAGAAGTGCCTTAAAACCCATCTCTTTAGGAAAGCTTTTGGCCTCCCAGAGAAACCTCTACCTTACATACCTGTCTCTTGCTCCCTCCTAAAGGGCAGCACTCTACTCTCTCCTCCAGCTCTGCTTCACTCCCACCTTGATTGCTGTTTCCTGTCCTATTGTGTTTTACACCCCACCTCCTATAGACTGTAAGCTCGTTTAAGCAGGGTCCTCTTAAACCTATCTGTAAGTTTTCTTGTAATTGTCCTATTTATAGTTAAATCCCCCCTCTCATAATATTGTAAAGCACTACTGAATCTGTTGGTGCTATATAAATAGTGATAATATTAATAATATTAACCAAAAATACTAATACGCAGACTGACTTACGGTTTGTTCAGGTTTATTCTTGGGGTTACGGATACATAATAAAACGATAAAGGATGTTACATGATTATGGATGTTCAACAGCAGATAGTAATTGCTGGACCCCTCAGGGGAGAGTTACATCGTTACATAGCTGTACTGGAAGAAGAGCTGAGAGAGACCTTGTGTCCCTTTGTTCAGTTACTATATAGATGTGCCCACACTGACGTCAGACTATAATTCTAGACATATAAGGACAAGACTCCCAATCCTCATTCTAGAGTTCTCATACAAGATTTATTGATACCATCTGTTATTTATGTCAATCCAGACATCCATAAATAATCAATAGAAACATAGAATATGCAATATTCTACAGATACTTTATATATTGTGGCGGGACTGCCTAAGCTGTGAATTGCCTTGTTCTATATGTGTGGATGTGCCCTCCTAGAATGTGTGTTTCCCCTCTTTCATCTCCCGAACCGGCCTGCGTACACTGTCTTCGATCCCGGTGTCAGGGACCATCCTACCTGATCCCCAACTGAGCTATAATCACTCATCCCTTCTTTCCTTATCCTACATACTCCCCAACGGGGCTATAATCACTCATCCCTTCTTTCCTTATCCTACCTACTCCCCAACGGGGCTATAATCACTAATCCCTTCTTTCCTTATCCTACATACTCCCCAACAGGGCTATAATCACTCATCCCTTCTTTCCTTATCCTACCTACTCCCCAACGGAGCTATAATCCTTATCCTACATACTCCCCAACGGGGCTATAATCACTCATCCCTTCTTTCCTTATCCTACCTACTCCCCAACGGGGCTATAATCACTCATCCCTTCTTTCCTTATCCTACGGATACTGACAATGGGGCTATAATCACTCATCCCTTCTTTCCTTATCCTACATACTCCCCAACGGGGCTATAATCACTCATCCCTTCTTTCCTTATCCTACTTACTCCCCAACGGGGCTATAATCACTCATCCCTTCTTTCCTTATCCTACCTACTCCCCAACGGAGCTATCATCCCTCATCCCTTTCCCTTACCTGGGAGCACGAGGCTACGCTTGTGGCTGCCCAGGAGAGCGCTCTCTCCGGTGGATACCTGCATGGGGATATCCACCGGAGAGAGGGACACGCACCAGCATAGAGTCCCTGGGGCTGTGAGTCGGTCTTACGGCCGCAGGGTTCCCACTGGCCGCATGGAAGTCTGTGCCGACCAATGGGAGAGGGAGCGTCCATTCAAACTGGGTTTGCGCCATTCTCCTGGTTGGTCGGCACGAGTAAAGCGATGATTGGTAGCCGCAGGGAGCGGGCGGCCAATCCGAGATGGAACGCTTATTCAAACAGGGTTTAGCGCCCTTCCATCTGATTGGGCGACGAGACCCCTACCCTCCCCCTAACGCTGATTGGTGCGATTTGGTTTGCGCCATTTTGGTTGATTGGTTGTTGCTTGGCTTAGGTGCGAAGTGTAATGGCACCCTCAGCATAAAAGGGTTAAACCGCCGTTTAGGAGATCTTCCCCTTCCAGAGATACAGGCACAGCTACTGCAGAACACCAAACTCCCGAACCGCATGTAAGGGAATGCTTCAAACTCCCAAACTGCATACAAAAGAGCACTCCAAACTCCCGAACTGGAACCTCACGAATAGCTGCTAGCAGACGAACAGGAAAAGCACCCAAGCGGCTTACACTCCTGGCAATCAGTCTCTAACAGCATACAGTAAATCCCCCCAAGAACGAGACAAGGCTCCGTTTGAGGGTCAAGCAGGAACAGACAGAGCTGTGGGTTTATTGTTCTTATATACACATTAGTACCACCCACAGGGTTTTGGAACACAACCAATAAACACATACAATACACTCAGACACTCCCACACAAAATCCTCCCCTCTGCCTGTGATACAATTACCTTACACAATGGGTAATGTAATTATCACAAGCAGAGAAATAAAATTTTTCCACAATATTCATAACTTGAAAAGTATGCATCACATTCACATAAAACTTATTTTCAGAATCGGCATACTCCAAATCCAAACATACGTCAAAATCATACAAATTGGTCCAGTGGTTCAAAAGATAGATCGTAGTCCTTTGTGACCAAAGGAAGCATGGCTTTTCTGCCCAAAACCAGTTCCACAGAGTCTTCTATCCTGGAGATAATTGGGAAGTAATCCAATTATCTCCAAGGACAGAGGCAAACTCCATTAAGCACATGGCAGCAAAAGACAATAAAACACATAAAAACATATAACTCTGCAGCCATTGCACAAAACAGGTACATTCAACATATCCCCAGATAGCTCAGATCTGAGCGCACATTATTAATGAATGGCGCTCAGAGAACACACATACAGTTCTTTCCCATAGTCTTTCATTATACGAATGGGCTCCATGGCTTAGCTATCTGGGGTATCACCGCTCAAACAGGGCCAGCACCGAATGACCCGGCTTTCGTGTCTCTGCAGGGAAAAATCAAGCGTTTCAACATGGGGCCATAGTCTAAAGGCAGCAGGCGGGCAACCAGGTTCCTCCAATGCACAGTGGCGAGATTGGTCTCGTCACACGAAGTTTGAATTAGCCGGACTAAACCAAGCAACACAATGGAACTGATTTCGGGGATGTACAGAGCCTTGAGCCTCAGACTTTCGACACTGATATCTCCGGCTCTGTACATCTGATCGCCCCACTTTTTGCATGGTTCCCAGAGGTGACCCGGGTCTATTTAACTATGGAAGTTTAACCCTGTAACCCCCCTTCCGTCCCAGGGTGCCGAGCCCCAAAGTGTATACCCCTGAATGTAAAATGTAGTCATGCGTGTCCCTGTATCTAGTTAGTATCTCCCAAAGCAGGAGATGGTTATCTATTCCCCAGCCCTCTCCTGTATGGGTTTTTTGTTGTGTTGGATGAAGACCCCTTGCGGGAGGTGTGTGCCCAAATAAACATTGTCAAAGATTGTATCCTGGAACTGTGTCCTGTCCAGATACTGTGGAAATGGGTCTGACCTACTCTAACCAAAGGGGATAACCAGCCAGATTACCCAGGTCCTGCTACATATACCATTGTCAACCTTTAGCTGCCAGTTAAGGCATGCAATCACATCAATCAGTCCATATTGCTAGACTACCAAACTTGTGAAGCAGCTAGCCTCATGTGTTCCGGCACTGTGTGTACAGAGAACAGATATAACATTAGCTGAGACATAGCTTGTTCTGATGCCAGAGCCGATGCCAGGCCCAGCCGCTGCAAAGGTATTTCTGGATGTCTCCTGTTTGAGATTTCCTCTAAAATGCACACTACATGTAAAAGCATTTTTTTTCTATCCACCACAATGCCATATAGAAATGGGCACCTGAATTCTGTGACATAGTGCCACCGTGTTCAGCCTCGGGCAACCTGATAGACTCTTTCACTAGTGAGGAATCCAGCAATAGGGGGGGGCTGTAAATTTCAGATTAACCTTGTATGCTTACTATCACTAGCTGCTTAAAACCACGAGGACTGTTACAGGCATCTGGGTACGAACTGGTTAATCTGGGTATAAATCGTTTCATTGAGAATGAATTGTATCCAGGGTTCTGTAATTTCTACTCTTTGTGAATGTTTCCTGATCTCCATCTAAATCACAATTACAGACAATCCCAATCTGACAATTTATTACACACACACACACACACACACATATGTGTGTATTGAAGACATTGAGTAATCACTCACTGCTGGGCTGGATGGGAAAATAAAGTGAACCTCTGTGTTAACACATTTTTAAAAAACTGTTTGAAGTCAGATGTTACAATTAAGTAGATGAGACTGTAAGTGCGGCTTGTCCTTTAGACAAAGTCACACGAAGTCTGGTTATAGACAAATCTGTTCTTCTCCAGAAAGACTGGTTCATATCCAAAGAATTTTCGCAGGGCCTTACAGGGCACAATATAGAGATGCTGGAAGCTGGTAAACGTATAACGAGGTAAACATTTACTAAGAAAGATTATATCCTTATCTAGAACTAACACAGGGTTCTTGGAGGGTCAACAGAATACCACAAAAATAAGTCCACAAATATTGGGTACAGGCGCACTGTGTGAGAGATTGAGATACGTTACTTTTATGGAATGAAATCCCAGTTAAGTTAACTGTTTGCAAGCCTGTGGGATTTTAGCATGTGTCGCCAACCTCTTTGGCCCTTACACAGTTAAACCTTCTGTAATCGTTTAATAATGCTGGATGTTCCGTTTATCGCTTGCACTATTATTTTTCTAAAGTCTCAATATATTCCTCAATGCTGAACCAAACGCCATTGACGGATTTCAGCCATTACAAGTTTTCAGGTTGGTCATTTTTCGGTCAGTGACCATGACTAGTTCATGCTGGGTTATAACAGCTTATTACAGTTGGTCAGTTGTTGTTTTACTCTCCCATCTTTCCATAGATTCTCATTGGCCTGATTTCTGTAAGTTGCAAGTCCTGCAACATTACAATAAAAGTGTTTAGAACGGAGTTCTTGGTTTTAAAATGCAGAAGTGGCTAGAATGTGGTCCTCAGTTCCTGCCTTTAGACTGACGAAGGACCATGACAGTAGTTGTAACACTGGTGTGGCTCTAACTGTTACTGGAAGAGCAGAGCCTGGGTCAGTTTGGGATTCCAGGGACGGTTGTTCCCATGTGCCCCCCAGCTTGTTATTGCTATTTCCAGGGCTTTGTGTTGACACATAGGATTTTTCCAGCGACTGACACAGCGATCAGCAGACTTGGTTCGTTTTCTGTTCCCTATAGACGACACAGTCCTGTAAACAGCCAGACTGGCCTCGTTATTAAATCCTGTCAGAGAGTCAGAAAAATTATTGTAATACTCCCTGCGGTGACTCACTGTGAGGAGCCCCACGAATATTGAAAATGCATGGGTTCGAAACAGTGCACTGACTGGCAATGCGTGCCGTTTTATTTTGCTTTGAATGTTGTACATGTCAGAGGCATTTTAATACAGAGTGAGATATATCACATTAACCCCCTACTCATAATACCTTTATCACCCACGTCCCATCCACTAATCCCAACACAACTCCGCTCCACAATCCCCTCCCATATTGGCAGCCTCACAATCGCACATTACTTCCAGATCCCATTGTACAGCGCTACGGAATCTGATAGCGCTATATAAATAATACAATAATAATAAATAACCCAAACTTCCTATACAGCGTGAAAAGCCTTGATGCCATTCAGGAGATCACTCTCGATCACTTATCGATCATTTCTAATGTTCCTGGTTATTTAGCGGGGGGGGGGCACCTAAGGTTGTTTGTATCTACTTGATGCAACCTGGTGTAATAATATCCCTAAGGTAACAGGCCCCTGTCAGCCCTTGTCTTTAGGGTATCACTATTCCCATCCCCTTTTTATTCCTTTTTATTGCAAAGAAAGGGGCCAGCCTCCTAAACGGTGGCATCCAGTGTGTTTTATTTGGGGTCTCCTTACATTTTATTTACAATTATTTCATGTTCTTCCTGCATGGTGACATTTAATAAAACTGCTTATTACATATTCTATGTTGTGCTCCCAATACTTTGTTTCTGATATATTTCATTACAGTCGCTCTGTAGATTTATACTCTGCTGGAGATTGGTTTTATTATATTGTTTGTTGTACAATGTCCTGGTGTCATCTCCCATCTAAGATACAGTCTTTTTATCACCAACGGACTGCCCCCATCTTGGCTGCATTAATCATGCGAAATTAACACTTCCGCATAAATGTCAGTCTCCCCCCAATTGAATGACGGATACTGGCTGCTGGAGGATATAAGTGGATGCGTATTATATGGGATGACATATGGTCCCTTAGAGCAGCCATTTTGCATTAGCTAAACGGTTACTCGAATATCCATGACTTCCTCTGCTTTTAGAAGAGATCATAGAGTGAGGAACGTGTATGTGCACTCTGTTCTGGGCTGCCTAATGTCAATTCTGTGCAAAACTTCTGTCTGTTATCAGTGCTCACTGCACAACGACAGACGTAAGCAGCTTCCCTGCCTTGGTGGGCTCCAATCCTCCCCGCCTCCCTACATTCAGCTTAATTTACCACCACCCCAGTCCACTCCATCTGTCCTCCTTGTCTCCCTCTGTCCTCCCTCCCCAGATCAGAGCATGTGCATGCGCGCTGAGCTTGGAGATTGGTCCTGTCCAATGCTTCTATGAGAGGTATTTGATTGGATCACAATGATTATAGAGAGGGAAGGCAAGACGGGGAGTGGAGAGCAGCGAGGGGAGGTTTGCCCAATACTGGATTACAGGCAAGTTTAATGTTTTTGTTATAGGTTTATAAGGGCATGGGAATAAATAATGCCCAATATGGCAGTTTAATTTAAGATTACGATAATAATATAAAAAGCCGCACTTTGAAAACGGTACTCAAGATTGGGTTATTCAGTAAAGTGAGAATTCAAAGTGAATTTCAAATTTATGGTCAAATATCTGAACTGGAAACGTTTGCTAACTCAGAGAGAATTCCAGTTTGGCTTCTCTGGCGTTAAATCTGAAATTTACTTTGTATTCTCACCTCAGTGACTATCCCTGTCTGTGCTGCCATGTCGCTGACCTTGTGGTATAATCAGCAGTAACCGTATATTGTGTGTATTCTGCCTCCCACCAGATCCAGTGCAGGATGCAAGATAAGACACAGGCCATATGGTATCCGGCAGCAGATTGCTAAAAGGTTTCACAGTCTGCAGCACTGAACCAATCAGATCCATTTCCTATTAAAAGTACCTCGTTTTTATTAAAGGGCTTGCTCTGTTTATACACTGTATAAATAAATACACTCTATAGTATTATTATTGGCCTTTATATAGCGCCAACGTATTCCGCAGCGCTTTACAATATTATAAAGGGGGAAATGTGACAATAAATTAAATCATATTATTGTCGCTTTCCGTGAGAGAGTAGAATGATTTAAAACGGCAAGTCCTATCATGCGGCCGCTGTCCACAAACGCCATCTCTGCCTGCTGAATTAACCCTTGCCATCACTTCTGGTTGGGACTAATTAATGAGTCTTTGTTAGCCCCAGCACGACGCTCAGTTCTCTAGCTTTCTAGAGTTTCAGAAACTTTCTAGACATTCCTAGCATTCTGCCACATCCTGCACAAACAGTGGTCCTACACAAGGCTTTCTGTTATACTGCATTTATAGGATAAATTAAAGGGACAGTGCAGGCATGTTCTCCACATATTAATGCTCACGGCATTATAACTTACCCGAACTTAAAGATGCGCTCTAAGAACCATAATCACCGCAAAGCACAACTATATCATTTAAGCAGTCATAAAATTAACTTTTAAAAAGACATTCCATGACTGGAGGTGGCCACTCTTTAAAATGCTATATAATGATAACGCATTAAACCACGCAAAAAACGACCTAACTTAAAGGAAGGGAGGGAGGTGGTTTGTCCCAGACCAAGAGGAGGCTCCATCAATCAGGAGTCTCTCATTGTGGACAGCAGGGGTTTATGGGTATGGAATCCAGGCTAATAACAATCTAATAACAGACATTGTGTGGCTGCCAAATGCCTATTCGCAGTCTCTTTACAGTGTTTGTTCGACTCTAGAACAGTTTCTGGAGCTGAGGAGAGAGGTGCGGAGTTTGCTTCCACCCAACATGCTTTCTAGCCAGCATTTTTTATATATGCAATTTTTTGGCAACACAATGTTTTCTTGATTTTTTTGCCACTTTTTCCAAAAGAAAAGTTGGACAATTTTCCCTTCCACTACAAATGTGGTGGTTTTCTGGAAAGAGACATTTTGGTGAAAACTGGTGGAATTTACTATAAAGTTAAACTTCCCATTTTGAATAACTTTAATAAATACCATTTAACCTTCATTTTTCAGAGCACTTTGATAAATATCCCTATTAATACATTATCAGTGGGAGCCTTCGAGTTACAAATTGGTGTAGTTATAAGCCAGACTGTGCAGAGACACTGACACACTATGCACCAGAACACATGCAGTTGTCATGGTTGGTAAGAACCCTAACCACACAAACCCCAACAACAATGGAGGACAAGGACAGTCCGTATTATTGGTCCTTAGAGTGGTCAGACTTTACTGATAGAATAGCGAGAGTCGAAGCCAAGATCAAGGGCAGGAGAAAACAGATTACTGGTAAACAAAATAAAAGGTAATGATCACAGAGTTCAGGGAAACCGGAGAACAAGACAAATTCTTAACTAGAATACACAGAACAATACGGAACCACAACAGGTAGGAGGGGTTTATATAGAACAAGGTAAATGCTGATTGGATCGCATCCTCCCCGTGAGCCAGAAAGTACATGAATGGCATTCCACTAATTTCCCACCAATAGGGATGTCCTTACCTTACCCAATACAACCAAGCATCCTACTGGTTTCTCCATCTAAATGACTATAAATCATGTGGCTCATCAAACATGCTCTCCATTACTCCAGGACTGTACGTTTAAAGGGAGACATTATAGAGAAAAAGTTGTTGAGGGTTACTGGCTACTGACAGAGTCTACACTGATCCCGGGAAACATCAGAAGAGCTCAGAAAATGAAAAGCAAAGGTCCATGAAGCTGGAGAGGGAATAAGAAGCATTTCTAACATGCTGAGTATTTATCGATACATGGTAATGCAAACCAGATACAAACAGAGGAAATTGAATCATGTTGCACCATTTGTGCAGAGAGATTGTCCGGCAAAGATCATGGTGAGTCTGCGGTGTGCAGCATGGGAGGAGGTGGGAAAAGTACCTCCTGAAATCTCTGGATCTTATTGAGTCGCTGTTGATGTGCCCTCTTTAAAAAAACAAACAAAAAAACAACACAGAACGAGAACTGACTTAATATAAGGTCATCATAAAGGTAGTAACTGCTCTCCAAAAAACATTGCAGAACTTCTCAAGTTTGTATAGACCTTCTGTATGGTCTAAAAAGTTCTAGAGTTCCAAGAAAACTGCTCTGGCAGTAACAATCTTCTATTTGGAGGGCAAAAAACACTGGCACCTGTCAAGGGGTGGGATATATTAGGCAGCAAGTGAACAGTCCGTTCTTAAATTACATGTGTTGGAAGCAGGAAAAATGGGAAAGTGAAAAGATTTGAGTGACTTTGACAATTGCCAAATAGTGATGGCTAGATTAATGGGTGAGAGCATCTCCAAAACAGCAAGTCTTTTAGGGTGTTCCCGGTATGCAGTGGTTAGTACCTACCAAAAGTGGAGCAAGGAAGGACAACCGGTGAACCAGCGTCAGGGTCACTAGTGCCCTGAGCTCACTGATGCACGTGGGAAACGAATGCTAGCTGTCTGGTCCGATCACACAGAAGAGCGACTGTAGCTCAAATTGCTGAAAAACTTAATGCTGATCATGATAGAAAGGTGTCAGAATACTGGACTTTGGAGCAATGGAAGAAGGTTGCCTGGTCTGATGAATCACATTGGTTTTCTTTTGGATCATGTGGATGGCCGGGTGTATGTGCATAGTTTACCTGGGGAAGAGCTAGCAGCAGGATGCACTATGGGAAGAAGACAGGCTGGCCATCGGAGGCAGTGTTATGCTCTGGGCTATGTTCTGCTGACAAAGAGTTTAAGGTGTTGCTTTGACCTCCAAATTCCCCAGATCTCAATCCATTTGAGCATCTGTAGGATGTCCTGAAACAACAAATCCGATCCATGGAGGCCCCACATAACTTGCAGGACTTAAAGGATCTGCTGCTAATGTCTTGGTGCCAGCGCCCATGCCTCGAAACATCAGCAACTTTAGAGGCATGATCTACACACAAACACTGCTTCATTAAGCTAAGGTTGTTTTGATGACGATAGTGCCCCTTTAATATAGATTTAGTTTTTACTGCCGCTCCCTTTTTTCCATCTATTTGATAAAATCAACATTTAGTGTCTTTCACTTAACGATCAATAATTAATCTTTTCCATCAATGATTGTTTTTCTAATCCTGAAGCTTACCCCTTGCACTAATAATTGGGGCGGTTATTTGTCCACATGACGCTTCGGCTAAAATGGCCTAAAATCACAAGTCTTGCATGAGGAAATGTTACAGGATACAATTTTATTATCAGTCTTACCGTGGTTAAAAGAGGATACACGATAGCAAAGGCCTGAAGTACTGGATACATCAACAGCATGGCTTAAAGGGACACTGTAGGCACCCAGATCACTTCAGCTCATTGAAGTGGTCTGGGTGCTTTGTCCTTTTTGCACTTCCAGAGAATGTTTACATTGCAGCTCTAAGTCTGCCCTCAGTGGACACCCACTAGAGGACTTCCGGAATCCAAACTGACTTTTGGTCCGTTATCTTACGCTGGATATCCTCACAGACCTCCAGCGTCAGATTTTCCCCATAGGACAGCATTGAATAATGCTTTCCTATGGGGAGGTCTAATACGCGCGCGGCCATTGCCATGCATGGGCCATGCATGCGCATTACTTCGCTGACGTCAGCGGGGGAGGAGGGTGGGCGGAGCCTGACCCAGCATCGAGGAACATTGCTGCTGGATTCAGGTAAGTGGCTGAAGGGGGGCACTCCAGGAGCCTATAGTGCCAGGAAAATGGGTTTCTTTTCCTGGCACTATAGGATCGCTTTAAAGGAACACTGTACCCACTGAAACTACTTCATCTAAATTAAGTTGTTATAGTGCCCCCAGTTGTCCCTCCTTAGTGACACCATATTACTTTATTTTAATAATTCGAAGGCAAGGAAGCACAGCTTCTAGCCACTCCTCCAAGCCTCCTGAGTATTAGTGTCTCATAACCTAGCATACCGTGATGTCATACACGCATGCGCAGTGCCGTCACAGTCAGTCATAGAGAATGATGGTATGCAAAGATTCTCTATGGCAGAATTATAGAAGTGCATGCGCCTATGGCTCCCAATGACTCTCAATGAGGATGACATCATAGGATGACATAACAGAGGAGGAGGCTACAGCAGAGCCGAGGGAGACTTAACACTGGAGAAAAGAAGAGTAAAAAATATTTTTGTTGTTTTCTTTCGTTTTTTTAACATACGTGGGGGAGGGGACTAAAACGAAATAGCGACATTAAGACTATAGCGTTAGGAATACAGATATTTATTCCTAACACTGCAGTGTCCCTTTAAATAGGACAACCTGTATTCCGAAATTAAACATTGAACTTTATATGTATTTTATAACTCAATGATTATTTCTCATATATTTTATACAGATATCAGAAGACTGAGAAACAGCATTGTTATTATTATTATTACCACTCATATAGTGCCAACATATTCCGCAGCGCTGTACGATTATTTAGAGGGGATATTTGACAACACGCAATTGACATATAGAGTATAACAGAGAGAAGATGTGAAAAAGCCCTTGCTCAAATAAGCTTACAATCTGTGAGGACTTGACGTAATCTTTACTAGTTCAAAATATATGTGTTCTTGGCTTCTGATTTTCTGATTTTTGCTTTTTATTTAAATGTTGCTGTTCTTGCAGTTCTCTACCTTCTATACAAAGGGCGTGTGAGAGATAGTCTTTCCCAAACAATACATGCAGATTCTTGTTCAAATCCCAAAATAAATTAACCCCTTCAGAGTTGTAAATATGCTCCACAAAATGTGAATCCAAACGGGATTACTTATTAAAGAGCGCATTGCGGAGCGTTGAAGACCAAGTAATAAATGTAATCGCCAAGAGGGGATTTTAAAGTATGTTTTGCAGTTGAGTTTTGATTTCACTGCTATTCCCTGTTTAGTGAATAAACCCCCAATTTAATCGTACCCATACATAGCTCAGTGTGTATGGAGGTATGTGTTTCCCCCTCGTTCCTTGCACAAGAAACCTTTCAGGTGGTGGAATTTGTTTTATTTAATATCCACCCCGCCTGAAAATTTATGACAGTAATCCAGGGAGTTTCTGAATGTTGCCTGGGGCAGTGCAGCGTCGCAGACCATCCGGTGTGTGCTGGATAGTAATTACTGGCTGCGTTTCACATCCCCCCTCATGCTAAACCTGCCAGTCCCACAGCTGTACGATCAAGACCCAACACATCTCAGCGGATCGGCCTCACATCCTGCGATTTCCCAGTCGAAGTCAGCTTGATGTTGCTTTGCCCTGTAAAAGCCAGGGAAGTTTCTGCATTGCTTGACTACAAGACCCGAGAGGTACCGGGATTAACGTGCTACAGAGAAGAACCTCAGGGAGGCCCACTCCAAAGCTTAGTGAAGTTTGCACAAGAAGGTAATTTTTTTTGCACACATTTATATGTGAATCTGTTCAGCATGCTTTGCATCCCCTAATTGATTTAACCTTTATAACAATGAGATTGGTGGGGTAACAGTTCCCCAGGCAAGGGTGGACAACCTTCGGCACTCCAGATGTTTTGGACTACGTCTCCCCTAATGCCTGATGCTAAAGCACCCGGGCTGAAAGAGCATACTGAGAGATGTAGTCCACAACATCTGGAGTGCCAAAGATTGCCTTTCTTAGTACATCACGTGGTGTCATGCACAGTTTGCATAGCTCCAAAATAAGAAATAAGAAAAGCACTTAAGAATCTGGTTCTGCCCAAACCAGTATAAATGCAGGAAATTTTACAAATAAATGCCACCAGTTTAGACTCTCTCCATAATCTATATGCCAGACACGCCTGGTCTGAGATACCTGGGTTAACAGCTATACCATGCCCATAACCAGGTTAAGCACATACAAAACCCTACTTGGTACCAGATATCTTAATACCAGCGAGTTTCACATCACCTATAACAGGCTGTGATAAAACATGTTTCCACAAATCTGACATTGATTTAACTAGACCTAGTCTCTCCTGTATGTTTTTTACAATATAAAAAGTGCATGTTCACTCAAATACCCTAAGTGTAACACTTGCTATGAGGCCAGAGAATTGCCGTTGGGGTATCTCTAACCTGTATGTAACTATCCTATGCACTGCAAAAAAAAAAATAGTAAATGCCAGGATTGCCTTTTGAAAGTAGTTTCCCTTTCATGTAGACCGTTGCTACGATCGATGCGTTGTACAGTTTGGGCACCTGAATAAAGGCACAGGACTTTTGAAAGGACGATCTGGACATTGTTTTTACGCGTCCCTGAATATACACTGGTTTGCACAGTTTGCAGAGCTGGGTGATGTCACAGGAGAGAGATAAAATGTAGTTAATTCACCCCATTTCTAGTTTGTTGCACTGTCGATGTTTGGAGCGCCCTAGTCCCTTGGCAGCCTGTGTGGTTAGGTATTGGCAAGACCGGGCACTTTCGGTCTGGGACGGCTGTAGGTCCGTTACACACAGAGATTTAGGGAGCTCACACCTGGCAGGTGAGCGCAGGATATTAAAAGGTTTCATATTTAACCCATTCTGCATTCCTGGCATTGTCTCATCTCAACTTCCATCGTGGGCAGGAAATCTGTTCAAATGGGATGAGTCTCTACAGACATGGGGCGATGGACAAATAAAACTCCCAGAGAGAAGTATGTCGTTTAATAATTTGCAAACATGGTAATACAGGCTGAAAAATACCCAATCCATCAGTTTCACCCCTTCTCATGTCTTATTACTACTGCTATCCAAAATAAGGCAAAACTCCACTCTGAAGGGAATTCATATTTTGCCAAAATTGGGAAACAAATTCCTTTGATTGCTCCTGGGATGAACCAACTGTTACCCCACATATTAACTATTATATCCTTAAATATTCTGTTACCAAACAAGCAATCCTTACAGAACCGGATTTAAAAAAATTCCACATCTTTATAGCCCATTGTAAGGAAGGACCCATTTTCTCTGTAGAACCAATAAGACTCCCAATCACTGTAAATGGACGGAGTGCCATGTCTGCTCTTATTGCTGTTTAGATTTCCCATTTGTGTCCTATACGGATAGGCCGTGGTATGTACGCGGTCAGTGTTGGCATAGAGTAGTAGTTATGGTGCCAGGTCTCATTAATATGCTGTATTTTTTCACACACACACAATAAAATATCAAAATGTTTTGCAGAATTGTGGAGGACTGACAAGAGGATGGCAAAGTTATTCAATATTGTCGATTTGGGAAAAAATACTCAGTTATTTTTCCAGATAAAAAAATATGGGATTGGCATTTAAAATAACTTTATTAATCCTTCTCAATTACAAGTTTGGAGGACAAAACCCAATATCAGTGGATCTAACTGCTGGATTTTGGAAATTTAGCAAATAACTCTCCAGATGATTAGGCTGCATTTCTGTGTTATCCCATTATTAGAGTTACGTAGGAGGATTTTATTTCAGCTCTTACTATGTAGAGGGAGACCAGAAAATGTTTCTAGTAGAGGCTGGCTGAGGGTGATAAGATTTGCATTGCCAGTTGTCTGATCCAGATGTTCTTTGTTTATCATTGTGTTGTTTTAACTCTAGTGGGAGCTTTTGCTGTTTGGTAAACCCAAAATCTCTCCCGGATCCACGATGAGGTTCCTCATGAGCGTGTCGCTCTGGGTTGGCATCATGCTCTATGTGGGCCCTGCTGGCTCCTTCCCCTTCCTTCTCACCCAGCTGAGCACACGTAAGAGCAGCTGCAAGGCCATCCCCAGCAGTATGACCCTGTGCCACGCGGTTGGCTACAGCGAAATGCGTCTACCCAACCTACTGGGTCACGACACCATGAAAGAGGCGCTGCAGCAGGCTGGCTCCTGGGTGCCGCTTCTCACCAAGCAGTGTCACACCGACACCAAGAAGTTCCTGTGCTCCCTGTTTGCTCCCGTCTGTCTGAGTGAGCTGGAGGAGGCCGTGTATCCCTGCCGATCCCTCTGTGAAGAAGTTCGAGATGGATGCACCCCCGTCATGGCTGCATTTGGCTTTCCCTGGCCCGAGATGTTTAACTGCACACAGTTCCCTCCAGGGAATGAGCTCTGTGTGCCCCCTGCTGGCACAGATGATAAATCCCATGTGACAAAGGAAGGTAAATATAGATCAGTATCTTCCAATGTTTTAAACAGAACGGTAAACACTCAGATAATTACAAGATGATTTATAAGTGGTGCTAGATGCACCATCACCACTTCAGATCAATGTTTTATTAGAAATATGTTCAGTTTCACTTTTCTATAATTTATATTGCAGTTTTTTCACTGATGGTGGTTGTTGTTTGCGGCTTGTTTTTTTTAATATAGTTGTGGTGTCACTGAACGAGCATTATTGCACATAGTATCAGAATGGATTGACCTTGGTCACTACGACCTCTCGGACAAACCTTACATACACAGAAACCCGGGTAGTTTGGCTCTTTATGGTGGATGTGCATCGAACGTGTGTATTCTAAAAATTATTTCCTCTGACCCCAGAACTCCCGTGTGCCGCCTGCCACAGCCTTGGAGACACCGAAAAGGAATTCCTGCAAGACTTCTGCTCCAAGGATTTTGGTGAGTGGGTACATGTCACAGATCAATGTGGGGCTGAGGAGTGTTCTGTCTACATTTCCCCAAATAGAAATAAGATATAGACTCTGTAACGGCTACCCAGCTGGTAAGGGCTATCTGCCGTTGGAGACGTCTTTTTCTGAGCAAGCTGCTGTGAAGTAATGGAGTTCTTATTCCCATCCACGGTATCCAAGAGTACAATCAGGCATCGCTGTCAAATGAGGCAGAGTAACTGTACAATAAATCCCCTCCAAGAACGAGATGAGGCTACGTTTTGAAGGGTCAAGTAGAACTGATGTTTATTGACAGGGGTCTCCTTTTATGCAATGGTGCCCTGAAAAAGGCTTCACCCACATAATTAATATCACAACCAATCATACATATGGTACAACCCCCACGTCTCCTCCCCTCAGATAAACATGCAACACAATTAAAACATACACAATTTTACTCAAGTTCTGGCTGTATCCCCAAAACAGGGGAACAACATATCCAAATTCCAGCTCATTCGGTTGAGGGGTTCGGGAGTTATGGGTCTTTGAAGTTTTGACCGACCGCACAGATTTTCTAGCCGAAAAGTTTTGGCCCTGCGGTCGGTCTCTGTTCGTGCAGTAAAACCCCACGGACCCCTTGCCATCCATAGTCATCCTGGTGTTCGCTGGAATCCCCATGTAAACTTAAGCATAACTACCGAACGGCCGGTTTTTCGGTAGTTCCAGCACAAAGTTATGGGCTCATGGAGGTCTCAGCGGTGTTCGCCTGTTTGCGTATCCGTTTTTAGTTCCATGCGTTCACAGGCAAACACCTCTGTTCGTGCGTAAGATGGCCGCGAACACGTGTAAAGTCCCGAAATGGCGGCCATCTATTCAGATCACAAAGGATTCGTGTGAAACCATACGAACGGCTCCAAAAGCGCTGGGAGGTAAAATACCACTTAACTGCTCCCCTGGGTGGTCCGATGTTCGGTAGTTTGGGCTGCATTCACCGGTAATGGTATTTCCCATGAAATAGGTATTCGGTCTTTAATAAATCCAACTGTGTTATGTTAAATAAGTCCAGGCACAAAGCATAGTTCTGTTACAGACTCAAAAGCAAATAATCCCCTTGACTTGCGCCACTTAAGATTCCTCACCAAAATTCAGTGGAAGTATCACCTGACGGAGCAGAGCTGGGATTCATCAGGGGGGCCTGTGATAGTCCTTATATAAGCCTCCAATTCTTGTAGCAGAGGTGGAGAGCGTCAAAAACTGCACAGGAGGGCTCCATATAGCTCCTATATCGTATCCCCATGTACTTTCACTAGTACACCATTAATCCCCCTCATTCTCAACACATTGGAATGGCTGTGAAACATAATGTGGGCCAGGAGATGCCCAATACCATAACTTTCTAATGTACTTTAAAAATAAAAGAAGTGAGGAAGCTCAAGTTTTGGTTTCTTAACCCCTTAAGAACACATGACATGTCTGACATGTCATGATTCCCGTTTATTCCAGAAGTTTGGTCCTTAAGGTGTTAAACCCTCTGCCCTATCCACTCATACAATGAGATACGTTCTTCGTCTTTCTGTTTTACATAAGTTTGGCTAATAAAATAACATTAACATCAACTATAATCCAGAGGTTCCCTGCTATCTACTGATTCCCTTGAAAACTGAAAAATAAAAACTATTTAACTTCCCTAAAAAGAATCATCTTTTGTGGCTAAAATTGTTTCAGATTGGCACTGGTTTCCGAGTGGGATCATTATACCTGTACTTAGATTCATTATAACTGTAGGAGAAACTCTTCTGATTGTAAAGGAGAGCGAGTCTACCGACTCTCTGAAACATTGACTACAACAGCAAAAATAGGCAAATTAAATTCAGGTTGGATATATTATTATCACTAGCTGCTCTTGTCACCTGTGTCTTATATTTATTCTGCTCTGTATTTTCCAGCTTTGAAGATGAATATTCGCTCAGTAACTACCTTGGAGGGAGATGTTATGGTGATCCCAGAAGTTAAGAGCAGGACAACTTACAAGGCAAAAGGATGGTCTGATGAAGAAATGAAGAAGACTGTTCTTTGGTTGACTGATGGGGACAGCTGTATCTGCCAAGATATCCAGGAGCCAGGGGTCACTGTGCTGGTTTTAGGACACAGGATAGATGATAGACTGGTCATCTCCTGGGTCAGGAAGTGGCAGAAAAACGAGAAGGAAACAAAGAAGTTTTCAAGGACTGTACGAAAGCTACAGTGCTAGAAATAGGGAATGAGGAGGTCCTTCGATGGGATGTGTGTCGCACATCTTGATACATTTCTGAGAATACATTATAAACAAAAGCCCAACTCATGCCTACAGCCCACTCACTAGCTAAACTGAAGTGCTGTCGTCATAAAGGTGAAAATTGGAACTAACACATTAACCAACTAGGCCTCTCCTTGTCCTGACCGCTTGGATTACTCTTAACCTTGCCCATAAGACTTGTTGATGAACTTATCGTGGCCATTAATTAGTTTGAGTCCTAACAGAAGAATTTCTGGATGTACAAGTAATATCACGATAAGAAAACAGCCCATAACATTAAAAATTATCGCTCTGTGATTTCTTCCTGAAAATATTAATACATAGGTCTATAAACGAGGTGGTTCCCTACCTAGAAGTCTCTTCAGTGCTGAGGATCATGATTGCAGCAGACTTTCGTATCATTTACGATTTCCCTTCTCTGCAATTGTTGACCAGGGAAGTTCCCCGTTATGTTTTATTACGCATCATTTTTGTACTCACCCTACAGGATATTACACATAGATGCATGTCCTACTCAGCCTTTTGCATGGTCTCTATACTTCACTTATGCCCCAGACAGAATTATTATAATAAAAAAAAAAAAAATAGAATCAAACCACCCAGGTGCAGCATACAGCAAATACAAAAAAAAGGAAAAATTACCTTTCCAGAATTATTATAATGTTCCTTTTGTGAGGTAGTTGGGGCGACCTGTGACAGCTGTACCAATGGATGTCTGGGATTAAAGCTTGTACTTTGTTTAAAATACCCAGCCATCTAACCAACAGTTTTTCCATAATGTTTAGAAACTTATCCTGAGCTGGGTGTATAGATATTTCACCTGGCGATATCGAAATTGGAGGGAAGCTGATTTCTTCTCAACAAAGCAAATAAACGACATCATAAAACTCTGAATGTAGATTTAATTTCGTGCACCATTTATCACCATTACGGAGGGAGCAGCTAATAGAGATCAATGAATCACTGATGGTAATCAAACAGCTCTGACCAGAAACGAAGCAGAATTTCCCTAAATAATTACCTTTATCCTAAAATTATCCTACACCAAGCATGTCAGACTCAAAGGCGAATTCGGGCCAAATAAATAAGGTTGAAGTTTATGTGGGCTGCAAAAAAAGAGTTCGACCTAGAGAAACGCAAACTAAAATGACTTGTATCGTACTCATGCAAACAATATGTAATCCTGGGTACATATATATCTAATTCACTCACTGCAAACAGCAGTCTCAGCCAGGTAGGTAGCCGCACTGTCCAATCTCCTGGCTGCACACTCCACTCCGCTTGCTTCTACCCCCATCCATGTCCCTTCTTCCCACCCTTCAATCCATGTCTCTGTTCTCCTTCATGTCTTTCTCCCTCCTTTCATCCATGTCTTGTTCAGTCCATGTCTCTCCCCCACCTCCCTTCCATGTCTCTCCCCCATGTCTGTATCCCCTCTTCCATTCATGTCTCCTCTCCCAACCCATTCTATCCAAGTCTCTCTCCCCCATTCATATCTCCCTCCCACACCCTTCAATTCACACCTCCCCCCATCCCATTCATATCTCTCTACCCCTCTTCCATCCCTATTCCCCCCCCTCCCCCATGTCTCCTTTCCTTCCCCTTCTATTCATACCTCCCTCCTTCTGCTCTGGCAGACAGCTGTTTCTCTGACAGAGCCGGCACGCGGGGTGATGGTAGTACCGGGTTTGCTCTGCCCTATAGATAGGTCCCCCTGCCTGCTGTTTCTCTCCTGACATAGCAGGGGAGGGGGACCTCTCACTCTCCGGCGGCACGCGGTGTCACACTGAGTGCCAGGTAGCCACATAACACATACTGTGCGTGTGGTTCTCTTATAGAGCCACACACTAACTAGGGCAGGCCGAGATGGGCGCAAAACTCACATATCAATCTGACAAGTGATTTTTGCACCACCCTGATTGGCTGGGCCACAAAGAAATTCATTTTGGGACACATGTTGGCTGCGAGTTTGACATGCTTGTCCTACACTGTCCCAGGGGCCGGATGGTCATAGTTTGTATTTTGTGACTACATGAATGTTAAGAATAAATAACTGGTGCAGGAATCAGGAAATGGGAAGTGGTTAGAATAGGAGAACAGAGTAACAATCGTACAAATCTGTAAATAAAATATGTTTTCAAAAACCAGATCATTTCAGTTTTTCCTTCTATCAGAATATGTAGATCTTTTGTAGAAAGTTCAGGGAAATCCCATTATTGTTCTTACAACAAAATGCAACTTAATGTTGAATTGGAATAAAATCGTTGAACTCTGCATTGTATTAAATAATTTGGGCAGTGTGTCGGGGGGGAGAGCGGGAGTCTCAAACCGGTCAATTTTCTCAGGTTCCTGAGTCATTATGAAAATACTAAATGATGTAAAGGAATGTTTAATAAAACCCCAGGGCATCCCTGTTATATCAGTTATATTATAACCAGGACTATTCACGAAAGTGAGAATTCAAAGTGAATTTCAAATTTCAGATCAAAATAGTCAAGCTGGAAATTTCTCCAAATCAGCTATAATTTCTAATCTGAAATTCACTTTAAATTCTCACTTTAAGTAACCCGTTAGCATCTCTGGCTTAGAACATGTTTGCAATTTCATCTCGTTTGTCTAAGCGCGGCTATCAATGCTTGGCTGACTGATTGTATTTATACAATTCTATATTTACTTGAGCTATATATTATGACCTTACCCTGTACCTACAGACCGGTAGTATTGTACCCCATGGGTCTGATCGCACCCCCCCTTCCCACATACTGGTTCTTGCTAACAGGTCCATCTTTACTTGGCTACTACATAGGGCAATACTGATTGAAGTTCTGAAAAGAATTATTAGTGCCTAGCAGGTACCCTTATGCAAACTGCGCCTTTAGACACCTGCCTACTCTGATTGTCTAGAAATCTGGCACTGCCTATCTCCAGGCAATTCTGATGCCACCACAAGTTCACCAGATGTCCATTATCCCATAGCAACCAACCTTCAATCATCCTTGACCCTTTCTTCAATTCTTTAATACCCACCATTCAACCTCCAGGCCCAACAGGTTACTCCCTGGGTGTAATAGCTTAGTTGCACCCACAGCACCTTTATTTCCCACCCACGCATGGGCAGAGCTCCCCACAGACCCTGCTTAACGCCCCTATGTTCCATTGCTGGCCCACACCCTGCACTCACTGTATATTATCTGTGCATTATCATGTTCTGGGAAAGAGACGGTAAGCTGTAACCTAGAGTGTTTCTATAATATCCCCCCTTTATTAAACACTTTCTGTAACACTTTTGGGGATGTTTAGCAAAGTATTCTGATAAGCAATAGTTAAATTCCATTGTTATGGTTTTTATTAAAATGGGCTAAAAATTGATGGTTTTCTTCCGTCAGTTTCCACATCAAAAGACCACCAAATTTATAGTTAAGGAAACATTCCACCACGTTTGTGTCAGGAAAAGCGTTGGAAATATTTATGCGTCAGCACATATTGCCAGAAACAAACAGTTTGACATATCTCCCCCATGGTGTTTAATGAAGTGATGATTGCATTTTATAATTAAATATTTATATAGCTGCATTATAATACCGGATACACATAAGAATCACGAGTACATTAAGCCAATGGGATGTCACATAATTACTCCAGGTTTGGAACATTTTCTTGTTCATTTTATTAATGTAGACCTTTCTTGGTCGATGATAGTGGACTATCCCGCAGGATTCGGGACAATGACTCCTGGTTTATGAGCAGAGCTGCAACAAGCATTTTGAGGGTCGCCTCAACCCCCCACTCCCAATAAATAGCAGTCTGTGAAGGCTTGGCAATGTCTCTGAGACACCTGGAGCTCGTAGTAACCTGACCCTCTGTGCTCAGGTAACATTCCCTGTTCTTTCACCTCAGCTAGAATCGACCAGCCTGGGGACTGTTCATCAATTATGGATGAGAAATCCATGGTATTTTAATGCCAACGCTCACAATCGTACAGGAGAGAAACCAGCAGACATCCTCATCAGCAACGTCTTCCAAGGTAACGCAACATCAAAAGGTATGGCTCACACGGGTTCTACTAGAACGGAACCATTTATAGAGTACTGGAATATTGGGCGTAATGTCCTCCCAGCTATGAAACAGGCCACCTTTATAGCATGTTGGGGGGTTATGCACTCAACTGGATGCTGTGTAGCATGTAGCACCTTTATAACATGTAGGGCACATCAATATTAGACCAAATAGCCAGGATGGAAAATTAAAGGAAAACGCTCACTTCCCAGGAATGTAATAGTTTTATTAGTATTTTTTACTTATCTCCATATTCAGCAAATATGTATCGGTCAGGTGTGAAAAATAAAATTAAATGTAGAAATCCCCACCTTTCTACCGCACAACTGGGAGCATCTATCTTAGCTCCCTGTCAATCATTGTTATAAGCTCCGCCCTTTACACCTGGCAGTCAGTATAGAGAGCCACCTCCATCTTAGCTCCCTGTCAATCATTGTTATAAGCTCCGCCCTTTACACCTGGCAGTCAGTATAGAGAGAGCCACCTCCATCTTAGCTCCCTGTCAATCATTGTTATAAGCTCCGCCCTTTACACCTGGCAGTCAGTATAGAGAGAGCCACCTCCATCTTAGCTCCCTGTCAATCATTGTTATAAGCTCCGCCCTTTACACCTGGCAGTCAGTATAGAGAGAGCCTCCATCTTAGCTCCCTGTCAATCATTGTTATAAGCTCCGCCCTTTACACCTGGCAGTCAGTATAGAGAGAGCCGCCTCCATCTTAGCTCCCTGTCAATCATTGTTATAAGCTCCGCCCTTTACACCTGGCAGTCAGTATAGAGAGAGCCACCTCGATCTTAGCTCCCTGTCAATCATTGTTATAAGCTCCGCCCTTTACACCTGGCAGTCAGTATAGAGAAAGCCACCTCCATCTTGGCTCCCTGTCAGTCATTGCTATAAGCTCCGCCCTTTACACCTGGCAGTCAGTATAGAGAGAGCCGCCTCCATCTTAGCTCCCTGTCAATCATTGTTATAAGCTCCGCCCTTTACACCTGGCAGTCAGTATAGAGAGCCACCTCCATCTTAGCTCCCTGTCAATCATTGTTATAAGCTCCGCCCTTTACACCTGGCAGTCAGTATAGAGAGAGCCGCCTCCATCTTAGCTCCCTGTCAATCATTGTTATAAGCTCCACCCTTTACACCTGGCAGTCAGTATAGAGAGAGCCACCTCCATCTTAGCTCCCTGTCAATCATTGTTATAAGCTCCGCCCTTTACACCTGGCAGTCAGTATAGAGAGCCACCTCCATCTTAGCTCCCTGTCAATCATTGTTATAAGCTCCACCCATTACACCTGGCAGTCAGTATAGAGAGAGCCGCCTCCATCTTAGCTCCCTGTCAATCATTGTTATAAGCTCCGCCCTTTACACCTGCCAGTCAGTATAGAGAGAGCCTCCTCCATCTTAGCTCCCTGTCAATCATTGTTATAAGCTCCGCCCTTTACACCTGCCAGTCAGTATAGAGAGAGCATACAGAGGAAGAGAAACTGCGTTTTTATTTGTCCTCTTCCTTTGCAACAAGTGCCCTGACTGTGCCTTTATGTGTGATTATGATGTAACTGGCTATATTATTTATATATATTTTGAAGGAAACAGGGCAGAGGTGTTAGCAGGACCGGGGAGTGGCGCGCGGTGTGTTAGCAGGACCGGAGAGCATTGCGCGGTGTGTTATAAGGATTGGGGAGAGTCACATGGTGTGTTATAAGGATTGGGGAGCGTTGCGTAGTGTGTTAGCAGGACTGGGGAGTGTCGCGCTGTGTGTTAGGAGGACTGGGAGTGTCGTGCTGTGTGTTAGGAGGACTGGGAAGTGTCTCGCTGTGTGTTAGGAGGACTGGGAGTGTCGCGCTGTGTGTTAGAAGGACTGGGAGTGTCGCACTGCGTGTTAGAAGGACTGGGAGTGTTGCGTGGTGTGTTAGGAGGACTGGGAAATGTCGCACTGTGTGTTAGGAGGACTGGGAGTGTCGCACTGTGTGTTAGAAGGACTGGGAGTGTCGCGCTGTGTGTTAGAAGGACTGGGAGTGTTGCGCTGTGTGTTAGGAGGACTGGGAGTGTCGCACTGCGTGTTAGAAGGACTGGGAGTGTTGCGTGGTGTGTTAGGAGGACTGGGAAATGTCGCACTGTGTGTTAGGAGGACTGGGAGTGTTGCACTGTGTGTTAGAAGGACTGGGAGTGTCGCGCTGTGTGTTAGGGGGACTGGGAGTGTCGCACTGTGTGTTAGAAGGACTGGGAGTGTTGCGCTGTGTGTTAGGAGGACTGGGAGTGTTGCGCTGTGTGTTAGGAGGACTGGGAGTGTCGCGCTGTGTGTTAGGAGGACTGGGAGTGTCGCACTGCGTGTTAGAAGGACTGCAGAGTGTTGCGTGGTGTGTTAGGAGGACTGGGAAATGTCAGGCTGTGTGTTAGGAGGACTGGGAGTGTCGCACTGTGTGTTAGAAGGACTGTAAGTGTTGCGCTGTGTGTTAGGAGGACTGAGAGTGTCGCACTGCGTGTTAGAAGGACTGGGAGTGTTGCGCTGTGTGTTAGGGGGACTGGGAGTGTCGCACTGTGTGTTAGAAGGACTGGGAGTGTTGAGCTGTGTGTTAGGAGGACTGGAAGTGTGTCGCGCTGTGTGTTAGGAGGACTGGGGAGTGTCGCACTGTGTTTTCGAAGGACTGGGAGTGTCGCGCTGCGTGTTAGAAGGACTGCAGAGTGTTGCGTTGTGTGTTAGGAGGACTGGGAAATGTCGCGCTGTGTGTTAGGAGGACTGGGAGTGTCGCACTGTGTGTTAGAAGGACTGTAAGTGTTGCGCTGTGTGTTAGGAGGACTGGGAGTGTCGCACTGCGTGTTAGAAGGACTGGGAGTGTTGCGCTGTGTGTTAGGGGGACTGGGAGTGTCGCACTGTGTGTTAGAAGGACTGGGAGTGTCGCGCTGTGTGTTAGGAGGACTGGGGGTGTCGCGCTGTGTGTTAGGAGGACTGGGGAGTGTCGCACTGTGTGTTAGAAGGACTGGGGAGTGTTGCACTGTGTGTTAGAAGGACTGGGAGTGTTGCGCTGTGTGTTAGGAGGACTGGGAGTGTTGCGCTGTGTGTTAGGAGGACTGGGAGTGTCGCACTGCGTGTTAGAAGGACTGCAGAGTGTTGCGTGGTGTGTTAGGAGGACTGGGAAATGTCGCGCTGTGTGTTAGGAGGACTGGGAGTGTCGCACTGTGTGTTAGAAGGACTGTAAGTGTTGCGCTGTGTGTTAGGAGGACACTAGAGGGCTTCCGCGCTTCTCACTGTATTTTTCACAGTGAGAAGACGCCAGCGTCCATAGGAAAGCATTGAGAATGCTTTCCTATGGACTGGCTGAATGACGACGAGAAGGAGGAGCCCAGCGCTGGAAAAAAGAGGTAAATTTAACCCCTTCCACCTCCTAGAGCCCGGCGGAAGGGGGCCCTGAGGGTGGGGGGGGACCCAGAGACCCTATAGAGCCAGGAAAACGAGTATATACTATAGTGGTCCTTTAATAAACAGTTTTTTACAAATTATATCCAGTTTGTGCATCCGCTTCAGTCTATAGCGATACATTGTATTGCATTAGCAATACTGTGTTGCTAATTTATTGTAATGATATATTTTCTATTTTTGTCTACACAAAGTATATTACCCAGTGCAAGTATCATTTGTACCCTGCATTATATCAGGGATAGAGATACTAACACTGTACATTGATCCAGTTTTTAAAATTTATTTTTACAGCTTTATATCAAATTCATTTATTTATCTGTATATCCAATTTATTTTTATATCTATATATCATTTATACAATTTCTTTCATTTTTTGTTTGCTGTACATTTGGTTCTTTTCTCTCCCTTTTTCTTTCTTTTTTTATCCTCGTTTATATATTTAAAGGCATAGTACCGAATTTTTTTAGACTTTTAGATTTTGCATATTTTTGGATTTCCATCCTATATATTCCACTATTTATTGTGTCATTATACTATATTAGTTTTACTATCATCTGAGCCATTATCACTAGTTAGCTCCTGGGTTTCTACACTATCCTTTAGGGTGTTTCCTTTACTGTTCTATTTACGTAGGTTTTGGTGAATTCCTACTATTTCCAGTGACAGCGACTTAGTGTTAGTTAGACTCCCTCTATTCCGTATATCTCCTTAGGTATACCAGTTTTCTCTATTTTTGTTATTTATTATATTGTAAAATGGTGCAAGCCCTATCTATAACCCACATGCAATGCATGATGCCATGCCTGAGGATTGCCGTTGGGGTACCTCAAGTCTGTTTGTACTAAACTTATGCACTGCAAAAAAATAAAAAAAATAATAATAAATAATGTATTTGTGTAATTAGCATCCACCTCTATGCAAATAGGTCTGTTAATAAGAACTGAAAATGACAGGAGCTAAATTAGAAATATATTGGTAAGAGAAAAATACATGGACTCCTTGTTCACCGTGCGGAGGCCACAAATCACAAAGCTTTAATAATGACCTCCATTTGTCTAAATATAAATAGGGATTAAGGAGAGAGCGCAGGTAACTTTTTCTTTTCTAAAGCTTTAATAATGGCTTTAATAATGGTCTGGGTTTCCAGTATCTCTTGTGTGTCTTCCTCACCCTTTATAAATATGTTATTATATGTTCCTGTATGTTTTCCAATATGATTTGGTTATCTGTATTATACTGAGTTTGTCACCGCTAGTTTAATGTTATGCACATATGGGCTAGTCCTGAGTTAAGCTAAGTATGTTAGGTTTGTCCAGGAATCCCAATAACAGATTTGTTGTAACTGCTGGCAGGCTGCTTGGTCCTTGTAGCCTGGGACAAATAAAAGAGAACTAGGCCTGAGAACACGTGCCTTTGTAAAGGAAGTAGATGATCACAGTATAGGCAGAAGTGTGAATACTGCATGGTAAAGGAGCTGAAGAGCCTGTTCTGGTGGAAGAGTTACTGAGAGACCCCAGTCAAGCTTCAGCGACTGGGGCTGAAGCATTCAATGGTTCCTGAAAGCAGCAATGAAGTGGCCTAGGTGGAGGTACTCAATTGGAGTATGGGAGCTCCATCACATTTGATGGCAGTGGTGGGATGGCTTCCTAGCTATTGGGGAAACTTCCAGACAACCACTAGGACCCCTGCACATCTTCTGGAACTTATGGATATGAATAGAGATAGCACCCGTGCAGCTTTCTCATCTGAGGAGTTCCACAGAAGAGTGTTGGAGGGGTTGGCTTTCTTCGGAGCCAACCCATCAGCAGTGATGGTGCATCTGATCTATGAGAATGTCCCCAGAGATGGACCAAGAGAGGAAGATCTACCTGGCCAGCCAGGCCTGAGCAGAGGCAAATGCGGGGGAGTGGGGAGTGCAGTCTGGGTGCCAAACCTCAGAGTTCAGGAGGTTCTGTCCCAGAAGGTTAATTGAACTGGTGGGACGCAATCTGATGGGAACTCTGGAACAATGTCCTTGAGAAGGTTTGTGTTCTCCAGAGAGAATCCCTAACGGTTTTGGGATCAAGTCGATTTGCACATGCCATTCTTGGGAGAGAAGTGCCTGGTGCAATTGGTGTTCAAATTAGAGGAGCTGGTCCAGAAAGAATTGTGGCTGGACAATTCTTACCGTGCCTTACAATGGTATGGGAACCAGCAGTACCCATGGCTAGCAGATGACGACCCTCCAGAGGGTGAAGGCTATGATGGTACTGGCCTATTGTGGGATGACTTTGTGGATAAAATTATATTTGGAAGTCCTGAGATGTTTTGACTCTATGACATTTGGAAAAAATAGGGAACACTTACTGGATCTCTCAGAAGCAACTGGAACTCTATTTGACCCATCTGGCCACCATGGAGTGAGAGCTTGAATTGGATTACAAGCAATTATTTGACTCTGTACATCAGCAGGTCCCAGAGACTGTGGATTTGATAGACATTACAAGTGGAGCGAACCATATTCTCCACCCTGAATCACGGGGATGCTGAGCAGCTGGCCCAGAACCCTAACCCCATGGCATGGGGACTCTGGTCACATCACTAGCTCCACACCGGCAGATAGAAATCCAGTGAGTGGAGGTAGAGGTAGTCAGTCTCCCTCCCAGTTGCAGAGTGCAACCGAGGGACTGGGGGTAGTCAGCCTTCCCCTCCAGCGGCAGATTGCAACCCAGCGAGAGGAGATAGAGGTAGGAGCATTCCCTCCCCAGAGGCTGGGTGCAGCCAAGGGAGAAGAGGTATCCGGCCTACCTTCACAGCAGCAAATTGGACGCCAGGGAGCAGGGCTAGTCTTTCTTCCTCCCCAGCAGCAAAAAAACTAGGGAGGAGATGTCAGTATCCTCACTCCCCAGCGGCACGAGAACTTCCCGATGAAGAAGGCAGTCGGCTTTTCTCACAACGCAGCTATAGTGTGGAACTTTGTCAAGAAGGCTGTCAAGATGGATGGACCTTTTGGTGCTGGTTACCCAACTAACTTAAGGCATAGAGCGATTGAAGTTCTTGTACCTGGTTAATCAACTTTTTGGTGGGAGATATGTAACGGTAGTCACCATCACTGGAAGCAGAAGACATACACTTTACATAGGTTCCTGAAATGTTCTTATGTTTTAGTCACCCTGTGCCCATTCTAGGTTCAGGAAATTGTAACTGTTTATTGTTAATTGTTTTGTGTGCTCTCCTGTCCTGCTGGTTCCCTCACCCAGGTATGTGGATTTGAATGTGGAGCCTGTACAGTTCCATCTGTTGGTTGTGAGAGTCTTGAAACAGCTATAAGCACTACTTGAATAGCAAGGCTTGTTAATTTGCATGTTCAGGTAGATTTGCATATTATGATTTCTGCAGGTGAGGAGACATTTTGTGTTAGATTTTGTCTTCTCACCCCTTTATAAATATATATTATCATGTTATTGTATGTTCCTGTATGTTTTCCGATATGGTTTGGTTATATCTATTATACTGAGTTTGTCACAGCATGTTTACTGTTGCGCAAATGGGCTAGTCCTGTGTTAAAAATAAAGCTGAGTGTGTTAGTTTCTTTTGGAACGGTGTGTCCTGTGCGGATTGTTTAGGGAACCCAGTAACAGAGTTGTCGTACCTGTTGTACAGGTTAAGGTGTGGATACCTTCCTGGGAAAGGAGCTGAAGAGCCTGGACTGGTGGAAAAGTTCCTGAGAAACCCCAGTCAAGTTTTTGCGACTGGGCCTGAAGCATTCCAGGGTCCCAGGGCTAGGAAGTGGACTGGGCAGAGGTACTCAGTAAGAGTATGGGAGCTCTATCACATACGTGGGTGGGGTCAGTTAGATACACTGATGAACCTCATAGGTGGGGTCAGTTAGATACACTGATGAACCTCATAGGTGGGATCAGTCAGATACACTAATGAACCTCGTGGGTGGGATCACTCAGATAGACTAATGAACCTCATGGGTGGTATCACTCAGATACACTAGTTCTGTAGGTACTGTCTATTATTACTCAAAGGAGATACAACTTGTTGGAGTCATGACCGAGTACTAACCAAGGGACAAGTTTCTTAAATTCTGTTTTAGCTTACGTGAAAAAAAGTATAAGTAGAAATTTGTTTTAAAAATGTGACTTGTTTAAGGCCATCATATAATGTTTTATTTTCCATTAGTTAAAGTAAAATATCCCTTGTAACATGTATTTTCATGCATCTTAACTAGATTTGTTTCCTTGAAGGTCCCAGCATTCAAGATGGTTTCTCCAGCAATAGCCTTGGCCTTTATTCCGTTTCTAATCACTCTAATAATCCGTTACCGCCATTACTTCCTCCTATTTTACCGAGCCGTGCTGGTGCGGAAATTCCAGGATCATCTAACAGGTATCCCGCGAGAGGAAAGGGCTTTTCAATATGTCATCACCCATGCTATCCCAGGAGACCCCCAGCATGTACTCAACACTTTCGACCAATACTGTTACCACTGCGAGCATTTGGGGAACATCGGACCTCACAAAGGTGAGATTTAGGATTCTGGAAACAGGCCGGGAAGGGATTCAGATTTTGGGGAGATCCAGATAATTAAAAAAAACTGTGAAAAGCAGGCAGACACAACTTGACCTGCCGTGGTCATTTTAAGGTCTCAAAGATATAGGTTCTACACCTGTTCAAAAATGTATTTGTCCGAATCAAAATCCTTGTCATCCACAACTAAATGTATTGTTTTGTTCAATAAATACATTATTTCGTGGACAAATCAATTTGTTCCGATGTGGATTAAAAGAAAAAAAATTCGGGTAAATCTATTCACTTATGGATGAAACAAATTTTTGCACAAGTCTAGTAAGTTCTGATATTTATGCAGCAAATATTTTAAGGCCAAGGCAATACTTTGAACTCTTTGTCATGTTCCTTAAACCATTCCTGAACAATTTTCACAGTGTCCTGCTGAAAGAGAAAAAAGAAAGGGTGGGTCATTTACCTGGGGAAGAGATGACAGCAGGATGCACTATGAGAGGAAGGCAGGCAGGCGGAGGCAGTGTTATGCTCTGGGGACTGTTCTGCTGGGAAACTTTGGGTCCTGGAATTCATTTGGCTTTTACATTCACACGTACCACCGACCTAGAGATTGTTGAATTCCACTTACACCCCTTCATGGTAATGGTGTTTTATGAAGCAGTGGTTTCTATCAGCAGGATAATGCACGCTGCACACTGTAAAAATTGTTCAGAAATGGTTTGAGGAACATGACAAAGAGTTCAAAGTGTTGCCTTGGCCTACAAATTCCCCAAGTCTCAAGCCAATTGAGCATCTGTGGGATGTGCTGGAACAACACGTGCGACCAATGCAGACCCAACTACACAACTTGCATGACTGAAAGGATCTGCTGATAATATGTTGATGACAGATACCACAGGACACATTCAGAGGTCTTGTGGAGTCCATGTCTCGACCCATCAGAAGTGTTTTGGCAGCATGAAGGGGACTTACATGATTTTAGGCAGGTGGTTTTAATGTTGTGGTTGATCAGTGCATGCTCGTCACTCGGAGGACACATGTTGGGTCTAGTGATGTACCGAACGGTTCGCCGGCGAACGGTTCCTGGAGGTTTCAATGAGCATGTCTCTGTGAAACGAAATAGTCTTCATGAAACAATTCAAAAAGGACAAACTGCTGCCATTTCTAGATATTTGTTAATGTTGCTAACAGACACAATGTTCCACTTGCCCAGTATTAGTGAGAGAGTTTTCTCAGATTGGGATAATGAAGACCAGTTGGCCATGTGCATGCATTATCTGTGATTCCTGAATTATTTGACAATATGTAACAAGCTTATTAACCTGTTATTTGCTGCTGTGTGGTAGTTATGCCTCAATCCTCAGACTATCAGGGTTATTTACTAAGATGAGAATTGAAAGAGAATTTAAATTTAAGGCCAGAGTCGCCAAGCTGACTTTGGAATATGTTCTAGTTTGAGTATTTTGACCTTAAATTTGAAATTCTCTTTGAATTCTCACTTTAGTGAATAGCCTTGTATTTCTGCTGGGGTGGACTAATGCTTAGTATGGTTCTCAACCCAGAGACAGAGCCCCAGAGCTGCCACATATTTGTTTATACAATGTGTGCGCGCTGTACTATCTTGCTCTCATGATTTAGTAGATCTTGCCCACAAGGTAGATAAGTCTTTAGCTACTTTGTGGTAAATAATTTGACCGGACAATATAGAAATAGTAGAAACATGCACATGAGATAAGTTGAATGAGTTAATGTGCACAGTGTATTTTCTGGTGGGCACAAGATGATATGAGGTAGTACAGTACACGCATTTATGTGACATCTGTGGGGCTCCGCAGGGTCTGTGGATTTTCCACTTTATAAATATTTGGATATTTCTGCAAATTCAGAAAACAAACTTGGAAAACGAAAATAGAATTCCCTTTTTTTAAGTGATATGCGATTTGTCAAGGGTACAGGACACTAATGATAACAATATAAATTTTTAGTATTTACACGCTCTCAGAATGCAATAAGAAAGTATTAAAGTCGATACAAAGTGTGGATCTGCACCACGCTCCCAGGTTATCAATGTCAATGCTTCCCCAGTCCTCACTTCCTCTTGAACCATTATTGAGGCTGAGTGAATGGGGAAGCCCTCCTGATTGTCAGTTTGGCTGCTACAGAGTGTTCCTAAAGTAATTCATAAAATACTTCTCTGGTAAATCACAGCACAACAGGGCTTAGCTCATTGTCTGAGAGCAATCAGCTAGCCTTGCCGTGCTGGGCTTCGCTCAGGAGAGCTAACAGACGTTCTGGCTTTGGAGCTGCTGGGCCTCCGACACTAGCAGTAGGATGGGTGCCCAGCAGAAAATGGTTTAACTACTTACACTGGGGAGTGCCACTACAGAAAGCTTGGAGCGTTCTTTTAAGACTGGCATTAACTCTATATACAGCATTACTTAATATGTGCACATTTGTTTAAACCAGTCTGGAAATTGTGCTGAATTATCTGTTTGACGCTCCTATTTTATCACTTTAAAACTGTATCATTACTTTGTTTCTGCGTCAATGCAGGGAAAATCCTGGACCGGCTAATTTATGAAAATGCCCCACTGAATGTCCTGGAGCTGGGCACATACTGTGGGTATGCCACCATTATAATTGCCCAGGCCTTGCCCCTTGGTGCCAGGCTGTACACTGTAGATGCCAATCCCAGAAAAGCATCAGTTGCTGAAAAGGTCATCCGATTGGCTGGTTTTGACGATGATACGGTGAGTTGCGTTGTGCGCAGAGATATAGACAGCAATACCCTGATACGGATAACCCATACACATAAATATATCAATAATCAATAATATATCTGTGAAACAAAGCAGAGTTTAGTGAAAAATCTCACCGCAGATCATATTTATGTCGTTATCAAACTTTTTATTTGCCATCTGTATATAAAATAATATATTCATCTTTTCCACGAAAAAATAAATAATTACAAAAACCCCATGTGCAGGCCTTGCTCTGTTTGTGTCATTTAATAATGTTATAAAATATCCAGTAGGTTTTACAGCTGGTAACTAACATAGGCTTAAATAGCTGGATGGAGGAGAGGGAACTGAACTGGGCAGGTAATCAGTAATTAGTCAATATTTTCACATAACACACGGCAGAGTTTTACAGAGGTAACACAGTATGTAACGGCTTCTAAAGTATTTCACTGTTTAATAAAAAACTCAAGAACTTACGAGTAGCGGAGAATAGGGTGCAAAATAGGGAACCTAACAACCTATACAATATAAAACAAACTGATTAATAAACCCTTATCTTCTAATAAATCATAGGTCTATGACCTTACTAACACACTGAAGATTAATATTAAAAATCCATTTATTTATTAATCATTTAAAAACATATATAAAAAATAAACTTCCATGTATCACAAATAATATGTCTATTAATAATCCCAAATCAAGCCATAAAACGCCCAGACCGTATTTGAAATACTCGGCATCCCGAGTCAGCAAAAGTGTAGTGCTGAAAAATATCAAACAATAGTCCTCTTTGAAGTAGAGATGATGGCTGATAGCGATGGGAGTCAGACCCCTACAGACGCGTTTCTCTGCTTCGGCAGCTTTATCAATGGATGCGGTCTGTCTCTTGGTGCTCGTTGATATAGTGTCTGCCGACTTCCTTTTAATCGCGGCAAATTCGTAATCGACAGTGTGTGTTACAAAATCCAACTATTCTCTATGTATCGAAACAACCATATTCCATGAAACTTAAAAACTCTTTTAATTAAATTACTACTTATCATTTCGATCGGTACAATGTATCACTTTCTTATATTTACTGCCGTTACTATAGTAACACCCGCTTGAGCGGGTTTGAATGTAACTGACATTTTAATCTGATTAGACAGAGAAAGAAAGAAATGAAAGAAAGAAAAGGTTAATACAAAAAAAAGGAAGATTCTTTCTTTCAATCTTCTGCTATGGCTCATTTACAGATAAATCATTACCGTATTAAGGCTAAAACCGATAATGTTAATATGGAAAGATTATTAAGACAGTCTATAAATACTAATCTTACTATATATACTGCTGTTCCTTTGTATCAGCCCATTTTATTTCATCTTTGATTTATTTCATCTTCACAAAATGTATTAACAATGTAGTACATCATTTAACTCTAGTCATCTTAAAGGGACACTCCCTATATTACTCAGGGTACAATAAAACTCAATAAAAACAATGAAAACTAAAAATAGCAATCGTAATAAAATAAAAAAATGTTCACGTCTACTTCTTTGAAGTGTGTTTTCGTTTTAACTGTGCCGGAATCTATATAAATCGTCAGCGCAAGGAATTCCACCTGTGTTTTACTACAAGTAGTGTAACGGATCACCTGGCACCCCGACTGGGTACCTCCATTGAAGGATGGGCAATACATCCCAGGAGCCATAGTCACATGGCAGGAGGCTGGCAATCAGTCTTCTCCAATGCCCAGCGGCGAGGTCGGTTTCGCCACGAGTAGTATTCAGTTTAACTCCCCAAGTATTCTTATTCACATATTCTAGGAACTCTTGCAGGTCTGCCATCTCACCTTCACATATGAAGAAAACATCATCAATGTATCTTTTATATCTATGGATATTCATATTCCAGGGATGTACATTCCAAATGTGATTGACCTCCCAATCCCCCATGAACAGGTTAGCAAAACTAGGGTCAAATTTCGTCCCTATACCAGTTCCGTTCTTCTGGAGGTAAAACTGATCTTCAAATAGGAAATAATTGTTCTTCAAAATAAACGCAATCCCTTCTATTATAAATGAAATTTGGGTATCTTCCAGTTCCCCATATTTCTTTAATGAGTTCCTCACGGTGTCACAGCCCTGTTGGTGATCAATAAATGTATACAAGGAAGTCACTAGAATGTAGTTATCTTTCCAGGAAATGGAGTCCAATTCTTTAATCATCTGTGTCGTGTCTTTGAGATGAGACTTGACCTTAGACACATATGGTTGCAGGAATGTATCGATGTACTGCGACAGATTTGATGTAATAGAATTAATCCCTGATATTATTGGTCGCCCGGGAGGTGTTGTTAAATCTTTATGGATTTTGGGTAAGAAGTAAAAGGTAGGGTTTTTTTGGAAAAGGGATAGCAAGGAATTTATATTCAGACTCTTTCAAAATCCCCATGTCCCTAGCATTACCCAGCATGACAAGTTCCCTCTTTATTCCACTTAATGGATCAGTTGATAATTTCCCATAAGTTTCGGGTTCTTCCAACAATCTGGTTGCCTCTTTTAAGTAATATTCACTCGACATGATAACTATTCCCCCACCTTTATCCGCTGGTTTGATACAGATCTTTTCATTATTAATTAGATCCTCTATTACTTCTCTCTCTTTCACGGTTAAGTTGTTCCTTAAATGATTATTCTTTTTCATTTTCCTTATGTCATCGATTACTAATTCCTGGTTTACGGGATAAAATGTGGAGGTTGTTTTCAACTGACTATGTTTAAACACACTCACAGGCTCTTCTTTTTCAGGAAAGTCTGGAATCTGATCAAAGTGCTTTTTGATACTGAGTTTTCTTATAAACCTTTTTACATCAGTGGTGGCCTCACATTTGTTCACGTGCGCTGTGGGTGCAAATTTCAATCCTTTGTTCAGTGCTGTAATGTGGTGAGATGATAATGGTATACCTGCAAGGTTGAATATTCCTACTCTTCTTGTTCTTTTTCTTGCTTGTCCCTTGTTCCTCTTCCTCCTCTATTTCTTCTAAGTTGGGCTCTTTTCTTTTCGCCCTTCTTGGTGTCATCGGATGAAACCATGTGGTTATTTCCCTGGTGTTCCTTCCTAAAAAAAAAACTCCTCTCTTGTAGTATTGTGTACCTCTGCTTGAACTGGTAGAGTATTTCCTCCTATAGGAGTCTCTGCATTTTCTTCTTGTCTTCTTCTTACAGGTTGTCAGGTTACCTGTTAACTCCAAGGAGGACAACCTCTCTTCATAGGGGCTCCCCTCCCCTAGCATTTCGGCAAATCCGGCCATTTTCGCGCCGGCCGCGCTAGCTCCTCCCCCTTTTATGACGCGACGGCTAGCATCGACGTCATGACGTCATCATTTACGTGAAGTGCCGGGAACCGCAATTCCGGACCTTTTGGGGGCGTGGTCTCAATTAAGGTGACAGGGTATTTAAGGGAACTTTTACTACTGCTCATTGCCCTGTCGTGGTTCTAGCTTGCTAGTCACTCAGCGCGTTCTCTCTCTTAGTATTTTCGGTTTTGACCTTGCTTGTCCTTTGTCCTGTTGCTCTCTCCTCTCCTTTGACCCGGCTTGTTCCTCGCTTACCTGTCCTCTGGCTCCCTCGACCTCGGCTTACCTTTTGACTATTCTTGTTTTGTCTATACGTTAGTCCGGCCATTCTAAGGTCCGGTATACGTACCTCCTCCTGTCCGCACTCTGCGTATTGGATCCCTGTCACTATCCTGACACAGGTGTCCTTTCACTCTCCCTACCTTTATTTTTACCTTATGTTTCCTTCCTCCTATCCAGGTTGGTATTTGGTAACATTCTTTGTTCTCGCTCTTCTGAACCTCCTGATACTCTATGATTTTCACAATCTATGGTCCGTCTATACTTTGTCTCTGTTCTCCTTTGGCCAATTAATGGATCTCTCCTTCTCACCAGGTGATCCTCTTCTATGTTATCCTTAGGCCTTCTCTATTCATTATTCGTCCTTCTTCTTTCATTTACTGGTATGAAATTAGGATTTTTTCTTTCATGATATATTCTTGACTGCTGATTAAATCTTCCATTCCATTTTTGATTTCTTCTCAAATGAGAATGTTTATTTTGATTCTCATATTTGCTTCTTTTAGGTTGTTGGTATGTATTATTCTCTTGATAATTCTTCTTCTCATATTGTGAGTCATATTTCTTCTGAAAATTTCTGACTCTATCGTTTTTATAATCATCCGTATCCCGTAGGAATTTTTTCTTCTTAGTCCTCTTCTTATATCCTCCTCCAGTCTATCTACACTCTCTGCTATTTTGGCAACCATTTCCTTTGGGTTATCCCCTCCTTCCATGGATTCTAGGATGTTTTGTATTCCTTTAATTTGCTGATCTAATTCTACCAACTGTCCATGAAGACAAATGAGCAGTCTTCCATTGCTTCATACCATCTCTCTTTAAGTTCTAAATTCTATAGGGAACGCTGGATCTTTAAATAACCTTAATCCCCGAGGAGTTATGTTGTCAATAATATATTGCTGGAGCGTGTCAACCTCCCATTTTAGTTTCAGTTCCTGTTTTAATAGCCTCTCCAACTTTAAAAACAGGAAATTCTTGTTATATTTTGTGGAATATTCCTTTAAAATGTCTATTCCAAAACAATAAGGTCTGGACTTTTTATGGCTTGATTTGGGATTTTTAATAGACATATTATTTGTGATACATGAAAGTTTATTTTTTATATATGTTTTTAATTGATTAATAAATAAATGGATTTTTAATATAAATCTTCAGTGTGTTAGTAAGGTCATAGACCTGTGATTTATTAAAAACTCAAGATATAGACAAACTGTGCAAGTAAAATGAATTAAAAAACAACCTCGCTAAAATTATCATTAGTATTGTAATCTAACACGTCCATCTTGGGATACAATCCACTGAATAAAGAATTGTAATTGTCCGATTTATGGAAACTATGTGAAAACTACCAATGTTTTAATGTGTCAGAAGAAGGCTATACAATGCAGTGAGGGCGGTAAACATGTGTAATTCACCCTCAGTTGCCTTTTTGTTACATTTCCTTATATTGCATCCGTGCCACACCTGTGAATTTGTACAGCAAGGAAAGAAAGATTGAGAGACGTAGTCAAAGAGGATAATGAGCGAAATCTGATTGCTGGAAAATTTAAAGGACATTATAAAAAATGTGCAGGGATTGGCAAAATAATTCACAAAACCTTCGAGGTAACTGGGGACAATATCAGATAGATGAAGAATGTTCTAGAATCTAGAAAGTAAGGATGACCTACTTTAAAGGTTTACTCCAACTATCGAACCACAGCAGCTCCGTGTTTGCCCTCTGTCCTGTTCTGCCGGCCACCGAGGGTCCTTTAACCCCTTAAGGACCAAACTTCTGGAATAAAAGGGAATCATGACATGTCACACATGTCATGTGTCCTTAAGGGGTTAAAGCAAGGTCATGATCATGCTCCAATGACGCAACCAGAGGTGGTGTCATACCCCCCAACAGTAAAAAGGTTTAACTCCGTAAGTGCAGAGTTTCACAGCCAGACGCTGCAAATACAGACACCAGACACCATGGCCACTTCAAATCAATGAAGTCACGGTGCTTGGAGTGAGTAACCCGTTACATTTTGGCTTTGGATTGTTGATCATCATCATTACAGCTAAAAATTAAAAGCATTAAAAAGATGCGCTTTTTATCATCATTAGCACTGTATACAATGCTGTACCTAGTGCTTTAGCAACGCGGGAGTGGCAGCGATGTTAGGGGTTAGATAAGAAGGTTTAGGTTTTTGGGATGTCTAAGTTTTGGAGAGGACTGTGGGGAAGGTGGATGTGTGGTGTGGACTGTAACTGCTATTATTCTCTAGATATGTTATTAATGTTAGAATTGCATTTCTCCGTTATTGGTTTGTTATTACTGTGTCACTATGATAACAGGGACATTTAAACTGTTTTAAGCAAAAGGCTTAACGTTGTGGATTTATTGCTGATTATAATCTGTTCTGTTGGTTCCTCAGCCAGCATTCTGCATCTTACAATATTATTATCTCATGTCATTCAGGTGGAGCTCCTCGTGGGACCCTCGGATGAGATCATTCCACAGCTGAAGGATAAACATGGGGTGCAGAAGTTGGACTTTGTCTTTATGGACCATGGAAAACGCCACTACCTCCGGGACCTCCAGTTATTGGAGGAGGTTGGACTTTTCCAGGAGGGCACCATCATCCTGGCAGACAACGTGCTGTTTCCAGGAGCCCCCCACTTTCTTCAGTACGTGAAATCATCAGGAAAATACCAGTGTAAGATGCACCGCGGCAGCCTGGAGTATTTCCGCTACATCCGAGACGGAATGGCTGAGCTGACTTACACCAAACTCCTGTGAGACGCGGTGTCTGTACCCAGGCCTAGAATTACACTGATAAAGACATTTCTCAGAATGCCGGCATTTTATGTTATTCTCAAATAAAACCACCTGTTAACCTATTATTTGTGCCAAATTTCTAAGTCTAGAAAATGGACAGGTTGATTTAGAATTTGTATTGATGTTTGGAAAGCCTCTAATATGCCAATCTATCTATGCTGATGTTGGTGCAATCTGTTCTGGGTTCGTGCAATACACTCCTTAAAGCAACATTCTAGGAACCATAACAACTTAATCGGAGGTCCCTGGTGCAAGCTTATCGTCAGCCCTAAAGTCTTCAGTGTAAAATATGTGTTTCTACCCTTGTTCAAGGCTTCCTGATTGATTGGGGGCAGAGTTGACTGGAGCCAAATGTAAAGCTTTAGAGTTAAACAGTTTAACCACTGAAGGTAAACCAGCGCCAGTGACCTCCTAGCAACATAACAGCTTAATTCAAATGAGGTTTTTATGGTATCCAGACTGTTAAAGAGCAGGGGTAATTCTTTTTAAATGTCCTCAATCGTTTACGTTCATATTCAGGCATCCCAGACCCTCCTCTGATTGAGAGATAAGGAACAAAATATTAGGAAATGTACCTGATCTCTACATCCATTCCCTCCAACTGACCAAGGGAGAAACCTTAACACTAGTGAAACAACAGCCAACTAAAACATATCAATAAACACTATGAAATAAATACTAAAACATATCAATAAACACCATGAAATAAATACTAAAACATATCAATAAACACCATGAAATAAATACTAAAACATATCAATAAATACCATGAAATAAATACTAAAACATATCAATAAACACCATGAAATAAATACTAAAACATATCAATAAACACCATGAAATAAATACTAAAACATATCAATAAATACCATGAAATAAATACTAAAACATATCAATAAATACCATGAAATAAATACTAAAACATATCAATAAACACCATGAAATAAATACTAAAACATATCAATAAATACCATGAAATAGCTACTAAAACATATCAATAAACACCATGAAATAGCTACTAAAACATATCAATAAACACCATGAAATAGCTACTAAAACATATCAATAAACACCATGAAATAGCTACTAAAACATATCAATAAACACCATGAAATAGCTACTAAAACATATCAATAAACACCATGAAATAGCTACTAAAACATATCAATAAACACCATGAAATAAATACTAAAACATATCAATAAACACCATGAAATAGCTACTAAAACATATCAATAAACACCATGAAATAGCTACTAAAACATATCAATAAATACCATGAAATAGCTACTAAAACATATCAATAAACACCATGAAATAAATACTAAAACATATCAATAAACACCATGAAATAGCTACTAAAACATATCAACAACACCATGAAATAGCTACTAAAACATATCAATAAATACCATGAAATAGCTACTAAAACATATCAATAAATACCATGAAATAGCTACTAAAACATATCAATAAATACCATGAAATAGCTACTAAAACATATCAATAAATACCATGAAATAGCTACTAAAACATATCAATAAATACCATGAAATAGCTACTAAAACATATCAATAAATACCATGAAATAGCTACTAAAACATATCAATAAACACCATGAAATAGCTACTAAAACATATCAATAAACACCATGAAATAAATACTAAAACATATCAATAAATACCATGAAATAAATACTAAAACATCAATAAACACCATGAAATAAATACTAAAACATATCAATAAATACCATGAAATAGCTACTAAAACATATCAATAAACACCATGAAATAGCTACTAAAACATATCAATAAACACCATGAAATAGCTACTAAAACATATCAATAAACACCATGAAATAGCTACTAAAACATATCAATAAACACCATGAAATAAATACTAAAACATATCAATAAATACCATGAAATAAATACTAAAACATATCAATAAATACCATGAAATAAATACTAAAACATATCAATAAACACCATGAAATAAATACTAAAACATATCAATAAACACCATGAAATAGCTACTAAAACATATCAATAAACACCATGAAATAGCTACTAAAACATATCAATAAACACCATGAAATACCTACTAAAACATATCAATAAATACCATGAAATAGCTACTAAAACATATCAATAAACACCATGAAATAGCTACTAAAACATATCAATAAACACCATGAAATAGCTACTAAAACATATCAATAAACACCATGAAATAGCTACTAAAACATATCAATAAACACCATGAAATAGCTACTAAACCATATCAACAACACCATGAAATAAATACTAAAACATATCAATAAACACCATGAAATAGCTACTAAAACATATCAATAAACACCATGAAATAAATACTAAAACATATCAATAAATACCATGAAATAAATACTAAAACATATCAATAAATACCATGAAATAAATACTAAAACATATCAATAAATACCATGAAATAAATACTAAAACATATCAATAAATACCATGAAATAGCTACTAAACCATATCAATAAACACCATGAAATAAATACTAAAACATATCAATAAACACCATGAAATAGCTACTAAAACATATCAATAAACACCATGAAATAGCTACTAAAACATATCAATAAACACCATGAAATAAATACTAAAACATATCAATAAATACCATGAAATAAATACTAAAACATATCAATAAATACCATGAAATAGCTACTAAAACATATCAATAAACACCATGAAATAGCTACTAAACCATATCAATAAACACCATGAAATACCTACTAAAACATATCAATAAACACCATGAAATAAATACTAAAACATATCAATAAACACCATGAAATAGCTACTAAAACATATCAATAAACACCATGAAATAGCTACTAAAACATATCAATAAATACCATGAAATAAATACTAAAACATATCAATAAATACCATGAAATAAATACTAAAACATATCAATAAACACCATGAAATAGCTACTAAAACATATCAATAAACACCATGAAATAAATACTAAAACATATCAATAAATACCATGAAATAAATACTAAAACATATCAATAAACACCATGAAATAAATACTAAAACATATCAATAAATACCATGAAATAGCTACTAAACCATATCAATAAACACCATGAAATAAATACTAAAACATATCAATAAATACCATGAAATAGCTACTAAAACATATCAATAAATACCATGAAATAGCTACTAAACCATATCAATAAACACCATGAAATACCTACTAAAACATATCAATAAACACCATGAAATAGCTACTAAAACATATCAATAAACACCATGAAATAAATACTAAAACATATCAATAAATACCATGAAATAAATACTAAAACATATCAATAAATACCATGAAATAAATACTAAAACATATCAATAAATACCATGAAATAAATACTAAAACATATCAATAAACACCATGAAATAGCTACTAAAACATATCAATAAACACCATGAAATAAATACTAAAACATATCAATAAACACCATAGCAAATAAATACTAAAACATCAGCCATACCACGCCAGAAATAAATACTAAAACATATCAATAAACACCATGAAATAGCTACTAAAACATATCAATAAACACCATGAAATAGCTACTAAAACATATCAATAAACACCATGAAATAAATACTAAAACATATCAATAAATACCATGAAATAAATACTAAAACATATCAATAAATACCATGAAATAAATACTAAAACATATCAATAAACACCATGAAATAAATACTAAAACATATCAATAAATACCATGAAATAGCTACTAAAAACATATCAATAAATACCGTAAAATAGCTACTAAAACATATCAATAAACACCGTAAATAGCTACTAAACCATATCAATAAACACCGCGAAATACCTACTAAAACATAATAAACACCATGAAAATAGCTACTAAAACATATCAATAAACACCATGAAATAAATACTAAACATCAATACGTACCGCCAGAAATAAATACCAAAACATATCAATAAATACCATGAAATAAATACTAAAACATATCAATAACTTACCATGAAATAGCTACTAAAACATATCAATAAATACCATGAAATAGCTACTAAAACATATCAATAAATACCATGAAATAGCTACTAAAACATATCAATAAATACCATGAAATAGCTACTAAAACATATCAATAAATACCATGAAATAGCTACTAAAACATATCAATAAATACCATGAAATAGCTACTAAAACATATCAATAAATACCATGAAATAGCTACTAAAACATATCAATAAACACCATGAAATACCTACTAAAACATATCAATAAACACCATGAAATAAATACTAAAACATATCAATAAACACCATGAAATAGCTACAAAAACATATCAATAAACACCATGAAATAGCTACTAAAACAGATCAATAAACACCATGAAATAGCTACTAAACCATATCAACAACACCATGAAATAAATACTAAAACATATCAATAAACACCATGAAATAAATACTAAAACATATCAATAAACACCATGAAATAAATACTAAAACATATCAACAACACCATGAAATAGCTACTAAAACATATCAATAAACACCATGAAATAGCTACTAAAACATATCAATAAACACCATGAAATAGCTACTAAACCATATCAACAACACCATGAAATAGCTACTAAAACATATCAATAAACACCATGAAATAGCTACTAAAACATATCAACAACACCATGAAATAGCTACTAAACCATATCAATAAACACCATGAAATAGCTACTAAATCATATCAATAAATACCATGAAATAGCTACTAAAACATATCAATAAATACCATGAAATACCTACTAAAACATATCAATAAACACCATGAAATGGCTACTAAACCATATCAATAAACACCATGAAATGGCTACTAAAACATATCAATAAACACCATGAAATAGCTACTAAAA